GAAAAGTTTCCGGGACCGCGCTGCTCCCCCCCCCTCGCGCTATTGTCGGGGGTCGGCGGGGCGGAGGCCGCCCCCCAGCGGCGGGAGCCGGGAGCAGCCTCCGCACAAAGGCTGCGGCCCCCGCCCTCGAGACAGCTGCGGCGGCGCGCGCTCCCCGTCGACCCCTTCGCGGTCACCCGCGTCCAAAATCCCGCGGGCAGAGCCGGGCAGGAGGCTGGGCTCGGGAAGGGCCGTGTCCCTGCCGGGTCACTGCCAGGCACCTTGTGCCTTCATTAATTCACCACTTTCCTGAGCCAAACAATGAGCACACGCGCGCTGGAGAAGCTCTTGAGTGCTGGGGATCACGAGGTGTGTGGGGCCTGGTCCTGATCGTGAAAGGGGCACAATACCAAGGGTCAGGTAGGAGGCCAGGAAGGAGGAAACAAATGTGCCAGGCAGCAAGTGCCCCTACATCTGCCTGTCGCTCTGTCTTGTGAAGCCGTCGAGGGCACCCAGGCAGGGCGTCTGGACGTCATCCTAGACCGCAGCCGCAGCCAAGGAGCTGGTTCTCTGTGGAATCCGCCCCCTCCCATGCAGCCACACTGCCACACAGTTCAGGTACGCAGGGCTGCTTTTATTGAAAACAATTTTTAAGTTTCCTTATTGGTTTTAGTACGTTTGCTTCAAGCAGGACATGAATGTATCATTTTATTTATTGATTTATTTTAAGTAACAGCTTTACTGAGATGTTCATATACCATAAACTACACCCTTTTAAAGTATACCAATTCAGTGGTTTGCAGTATGTCTAGAGTTGTGCAACCAGCACCACTCTCTGACTTTAGAACATTTTCATCACTTCCCTCCCCCAACCTTACCCGTTAGAGGTCACTCCCCATTTCCAACACGCCCATCCCCAGGACTCATGGATTTGCTTGTTCTCAACACTCCATATAAATGGAATCATCCAATATCTGACCTTTTTGTGATTGACTTCTTTCACTTAGCATGGTTTGTTTGTTTGTTTGTTTTGACCAATAAGGGGATCGCAACCCTCGGCACTGTGTGGTCCGCACCACGCTCAGCCAGTGAGCGCGCCGGCCATCCCTATATAGGATCCGAACCCGCGGCCTCTGCGCTACCAGCACCGCACTCTCCCGAGCGAGCCACGGGGCCGGCCCACACTTAGCATGTTTTTAAGGTTCACTGATGTTGTAGCATGAATCGGTACTTCATTTTTTTTTTTTTTTTAAAGATGACCGGTAAGGGGATCTCATCCCTTGGCTTGGTGTTGTCAACACTACGCTCAGCTAGTGAGCAAACCGGCCATCCCTATATAGGATCGGAACCTAGGGCCTTGGTGTTATCAGCACCGCACTCTCCCGAGTGAGCCACAGGCCAGCCCAGTACTTCATTTTTTTATGGTTGGATAATAATAAATTGTATGGCTATACCACATTTTATTTATACATTTATCTATTGATGGACATTTGGATTGATTTCACTTTTTGGCTATTATGAATAATACTGCTGTGAACATTTGCGTACAGGTTTTTGTGTGGACATAGGTTTCCAGTTCCGTTGGGTACTGTTAGGTTCGGCAAGACCGAGAAAAGGGAGAGAAAGAGAGACCCGAGCCGGATGCGACTTCAGCCAAAAGCTTTATTCCACTAACGTGGAGGGGAGACTGAACCAGATCAGTTCCCCCTAACCAAGGAAAGCAGGAGGTTTATAAGACTTTTAGGGAGGATTCTGACAGTAATGGGCAATTTCGAAATCAGTAGTATGCAAGGTGACACAGCCCTTCTGCTCTGATAACATCTGTCGGTTAGGGCATAGGCTTCTGAAGCATTGCTTCCAGCCCAGACCAATTCCCTGAAGCTGGCCATGAGGCCTAATAGGTATGTACCTAGGAGTAGAATTGCTGGGCCATATGGTAAGTCTATGTTTAACGATTTGAGGAACTGCCAGACTGTTTTCCAAAGTGCCTACACTGTTTTACAGGTTCATTCATTTTTAAATGTTATGACCACTCACGGTAGAAATGAAATACTATATATCAGGCATTGCTATGGTCTGAATGTCTGTGTCCCCTCAAATTCCATATGTTGAAACCTAATCACCAATTTGATGGTATTAAGAGTGGGGCCTTTAGGAGGTGATTAGGTGGTGAGGGTGGAGGACACAGCAAAAAGCTGCTGTCTATAAGCCACAAAGCCGGCCTCACCAGACACCAAATCTGCCAACACCTTCATCTTGGGCTTCCCAGCTTCCAGAACGGTGGGAAATAAATATCTGTTGTTTATAAGCCACCCAGTCTAAGGTGTTTTTTCATAGCAGCCCAAATGGACTAAGACGAGCATTGTGCTAGGACCTGGGGACACACTGTTGAGAAAAACACATTTTCCCTTCCTTTGTGGAGCTTACAGTCACGTAGGAGAGAGAAACATTAAACAAGCAATCGAATACATAAACAGAGAATTAAAATATCTTATTATGCAAAAAGGGTCAAATTTAAAATAAAATAATTAAGATGAAATGATATAAAATGAATACCAATTAAGGCATTGTTAAAGGGTTAAATTAAAAGGAAAAAATACATAATGCAAGTTTCTCATAGTCTATAAATAATAAGTACCCAGTGTCTCCTTTGCTGAGCCACTGCCTACACCACTGGAAGAACCCCAATATGAAGTCCCTTCTTTCTGTTCCCTTGAGCGTTCTGGTGTATGTCCTACATGCTTGTAAATGGTCATCTCAGCCTTCATCTTTCTTGGATACTGACCTGTGATTGTCTAGATCCTAGGCCCCCTGGTGATGTTTTTTACCTACTGTTCCGAAGAGATAATCTATTCCACTATCTCCCTAAAGTAGGGGGACACCCCACCCACCCTTGTGTCACTCTTTCACTAGGCCTTAAGGCAGGGTGAACTTACTCTCAGTTTTGTAGAGACTTAAAGATACCACTATTAATTTGATTCACTCTTTATTTTTTTGGCAGCTGGATGGTACAAGGATGTGAACCCTTGACCTTGGTGTTGACAGCACCATGCTCCACCAACTGAGCGAACTGGCCAGACTGATTCACTCTGTTACGGCTTCCCTTTCCCTCAGGCTCAGCATAAGCCCTCAGAAGCAGGGTCTAATTTAAAAATTGCTTCATTCCTTTCGCCACCGGGCCGGCCCAAAGATACCACTATTAATTTGATTCACTCTTTATTTTTTTGGCAGCTGGATGGTACAAGGATGTGAACCCTTGACCTTGGTGTTGACAGCACCATGCTCCACCAACTGAGCGAACTGGCCAGACTGATTCACTCTGTTACGGCTTCCCTTTCCCTCAGGCTCAGCATAAGCCCTCAGAAGCAGGGTCTAATTTAAAAATTGCTTCATTCCTTTCCACCCACCCTTGACCATGTTTACACATTTCAACAGCGTTTTTTTTTTTTTTTTTTTTTTTTTACTTGGTTAGTTCTTAATCTTTTCTGGGACCCCTTTGAAAATCTGAAGAAAACCTCATCCTCGAAAAATATGAACATGTGTGCACACCCACACATGATTTCTCATATGATGTTCGGGAATATATGGACTCCCCTGAAATTCAACTCTGGATTCCGTGGAGGAATGGCGCCCAGACTAAAAACCCCTAGCTCAAAGATTCAAGTGCTTCCCTACAAGTCCCCTGCCTCAGCAGTTGGGGCAGTGTGGTCCATAGACCATCGGTTTCAGAATCACTCTGACTGCCTGTCAAAAAAGCAGATCTATTAAATCCAAATCTCTGGGCATGTGCCCTTGAAATCAGCATGGATTAATTTCCTCCTGGTGTTGCTGTAACAAATTGCTACAAATTTAGTGGCTTAGATTGAAGAAACTGGTTCCCTCACAGTTCTGGAGGCCAGAAGTCTGAAACGATTTTCACTAGACCCAAACCAAGGTATCAACAGGGCTATACTCCCTCTGTAGGGTATATCTTGCCTCTTCCAGCTTCTGGTGGCTGCCAGCAATCTCCATGCCTTGACTGCATCATTCCAACCCATCTCTGCCTTCGTTGTCACACTGACTTCTGTGTGTGTCAAATCTCCCTCTGCCTCTCTCTTATGATAGATTGCATTTGTGATCTACTCAAATAACCCACGATAATCTCCCCATCATGACATCTTAACTTATCATAACTGCAAAGACCCTTTTTTCAATGTAAGGTGACATTTATAGGTTCCTGGGATTAGGACCAGGTATCTTCGGGGCCATTATTCAGCCAACTGCACTGCATTTCCACAGGCTTCCTGGGAGATTCTTACGAGAAACACTGGGGTATGAAGCTGGCCCTCAGTGGGGGCAGCTGCTTGTATTGCTGGACATGTTGGGTCACAGGAAAATG